CCTGGCCAAATTTGCCCACTGGCCTCTGTCCATCATGGCCTCCTAACCCTCCCCATAATTGGCTTCATCACTCTGTCTCCTCTCTACCAATCAGCTGGTGTGTGGTGTGCGGTCTGGAGCAAAATGGCTGCCGTCGCGTCATACAGGTGGATGCTGCACACTGGTGGAGGTTGAGGAGATTCCCCCCTTTGTGTACACCAACTTATACAAAATAAATAATATATTTATTATATAAATGTAAGGAATTATTATTTTTATTTACAACGCAATTTATTATGATTCCAGGGAGCTCCGTTTCTATTAGCGCGATTGTCGTGAATGACCCTGCTGAAAAATCCAGCTTAAACCAGCCTAGGCTGGTTGGCGAGTCAAAGAGAGATCGCTTTTACTTGGTAGAAACTCCACACACACACTGACACGTGATGTCAACAACAGATTTACATACTAAGAGGTGATTGGATAGGTTTTCGCACGTGCAATGAGCGTGAAGGGTAATCAAAAGCCTACAAAGGTTTAACTGCTTTGTTGCAGTTGTTTTTATTAACAAACCACAAACCCCGGATCACAGGACACATCGAATTGTGGAAACCAACGGGACGATACGTTTTTTTTTACCGAGAACTGTTGCATGCCTAGTATGAAGTGTTTGTCTTTTATTCATTCATTCATTTTCTTGTCAGCTTAGTCCCTTTATTAATCCGGGGTCGCCACAGTGCAATGAACCGCCAACTTATCCAGCAAGTTTTTACACAGCGGATGCCCTTCCAGCCGCAACACATCTCTGGGAAACATCCACACACACACACTTCGGACAATTTAGCCTACCCAATTCACCTGTACCGCATGTCTTTGGACTGCGGGGGAAACCGGAGCACCCGGAGCAAACTCCACACAGAAAAACCAACTGAGCCGAGGTTCGAACCAGCGACCCAGTGACCTTCTTGCTGTGAGGCGACAGCACTACCTACTGCGCCACTGCCTCGTCGTCTGTCTTTTATTAATGTTCATATTTCATGACCAAAATGTTTGTTATTACTGTTTATTCAGCTGTACCACAATCATTATAAGTACAGTACGTTACAAGAATAAACCGTTATAATCAGCGTTTCAGTTGAGAACACTAACCACTCCCCCAAGCTGCTTGGGTGAAGCCCAGGGCTTAATTTGTGCTGGAAAAAGCCGGATCCGGCACCTCTGAAATCTAATCTGGCACCACATTTTACCAATCCCGCTCCTCACGTGCACACCCCCCTTCTCAACCCTCTTCACTCTCAATCCTTCCACTCCCCCCCTCCATCTCCACTTCCACTGAAACTTAACCCTGATGACGGAGGCTTTCAGGGGTGCTTCTGCCTGAGCCGAGCCCAGTTTGATGCACGGTTGTCGGTTTCGGCTGGAGTATTTCCCCAGGGACACAAACAACAGTCACAATCACGCCCCCACAAGAGCAAGCTCCTGATTGGTTAACGCGGCACGAATGTACGATGAAGTTTAGATTCTTGAACTCGGAGCGATTCGCGCAAAACGCTCAATTTGCACCATGTCCTTCGCGCGTATCGCGCTGCAGGAGGTCTATTCGCACGTTTGCATTGACTTAACATGTAAATCACTCGCTCTTGATGCTCCTTCCGCGTCTGGTGTGAACGCAACATTTCACAACTTATAATATAGCTTCAATATAAACAGCCCTGGGAGTAAGAGTAAGAAAATCAAAAGCTATTTCATTTAAAACACATCCTAACTGGGTTTACATGTCAACATAGGACCCCAACCTTTGTGGTTTTAAAACTTCTTTTTGAACAAGAAAGATGAGGGTTTTTGGCGATGCATAGACAACCGAGCACTGAACTCAGAAAAAGTGCAACTTCCTTACCCACCCCTGCTGAAAAATCCAGCCTAAACCAGCCTAGGCTGGTTGGCTGGTTTTAGCTGGTTGACCAGGCTGGTTTTAGAGGGGTTTTGGCCATTTCCGTTTCCAGCCATTTCTAGCCTGGTATTAGCTGGTCAGGTTGGGAGTTGACCAGCTAAAACCAGCTTGACCAGCCTAGCCAAGCTGGGAGTCCAGCCAAAACCAGCTATATCCAGCTTAAACCAGGCTGGTCAAGCTGGTTTTAGCTGGATTTAGCTGGTCATTTTCCAGCCTGACTAGCTAAGACCAGGCTGGAAATAGCTGGATACCAGCCTGGAAATGGCCAAAACCCCTCTAAAACCAGCCTGGTCAACCAGCTAAAACCAGCCAACCAGCCCAGGCTGGTTTAAGCTGGATTTTTCAGCAGGGACCCCTAGTTTATCCATCGGAACTCGGACTTTGACGTTATCAGGGTTTAAAATATGTTATGGAAAAATGTCCATCGGTTATTACAAGGGACAAAGGGACTAGCGTTAGCAAAACTGAAACTTTTTTTAAACATAAAAGTCAATTTGAATGTAATAAAACAAGTACAGAGTTACAAACATTGTACATAATACACCAAATACAACTTGACTAGCTTTATTTCATTAATAAAATTGATCAGTTCTATAGTCATAAACAAGTCGAGCAAATGCATTTTCCCAATAAATATTTTAACACACACACAAAATCGACACGCACAAATGAACCTTTTTCTCTCAACTTGTTTCTGCATGTACATTTACCACTGATAATAATGCAAAAACGTACAATTAAATGCATAAGGTGCACTTAAAACACCACAGATCATTATTTTATAGTCTCCTCGTGTTCTGGATCGTTGGATGGAGACTTTTGGAGTTCTGTGTCTCTGGACAATTGTTTATCATTCTTCATTTTTCTCTGTATCTCTATAGTGGCTATCCAGAGGAGGGAATAAGCTAATACTCGAAGACCGATGGTCAGTCCCTGAAAGAGAAACCTTATAGTGGACAAAAAATTACGTAGAGATTAAAATTATGTAGGATATAGCAGAGTTAATATAACAGTTCAGCTCACCTGAATGTCTCAATGTCATAAATTCTGCAGGCACCTCTTCCACAAGATTTAGTCCTGCCCCATTTCAGACAGGTAGAGTCAATAAGACTTCCAAAGTAAATGGGAGCAGGAATACCACCTATAAAAAGTAACATTGCATTATAAACAATGCTGCACCAGGCCTAAATGGCGGTCTAAGACAAGAAAATAAACATTCCACAACACACTCACCCAAAACTCTTACAGTGAACAGTAACATTCCCACAGAGATTGACTTCAGCTCAGGGTCCACAATCCTGCAAGAACATGTTCTCAATAAGATTTTTGGTATAAACTCCAATTCGCATACACATTTGCACAAAGCCACATGTAGCTCTATATTAGCTTTCCCTTTTTTTTTAGTCTTTAAACACAAATGCTTTACTACGGAAATGGCTTTTAATTTTGTGTTTTCTTGAAAGTTATTATTTAATTAAATTTTTTTATATAGTGTCCAATCACAACTCCAATCATTTAAGATTTCTTTGCTATAAAACAGAAATTCTAGACTACCCAACTCACTTCGGGCTGGGATTGAACTGGCGACTCTTCGCATGGGGGTTAGTTGTTCCAACAAGGAGGCTAAAGACCATGGTCTCTGGCGCAGGGGTGTCCAAACTACGGCCTTTTTAAAAATATCAATAGAATCTGGCCCGCTATACAAAAATGCAGGTAATTCAATAAATATTCAATTAAGCTGCAGTTCTATCTATCTATCTATCTATCTATCTATCTATCTATCTATCTATCTATCTATCTATCTATCTATCTATCTATCTATCTATCTATCTATCCACAGTTGAAGTCTGAATTATTAACCCCTCTTTGATTTATTTCTTCTTTTTTAAATATTTCCCAAAAGATGTTTAACAGAGCAAGGAAATTTCCAGAGTGTGTCTAATAATATTTTTTCTTCTGGAGAAAGTCTTATTTGTTTTATTTCGGCTAGAATAAAAGCGGTTTTTAATTTTTTATGAACCATTTTAAGGTCAAAATTATTAGCCCCTTAAGTCTTCAGAACAAACCATTGTTATAAAATAACTTGCCTAATTACCTTAACTTGACTAGTTAACTTAATTAACCTAGTTAAGCCTTTAAATGTCACTTTCAGCTGTATAGAAGTGTCTTGAAAAATATCTAATCAAATATTATTTACTGTCATTATGACAAAGAGAAAATAAATCAGTTATTAGAAATGAGTTACTACAACTATTATGTTTAGAAGTGTGTGGAAAAAAATCTTCTCTCCGTTAAACAGAAATATGTATCTATCTATCTATCTATCTATATATATATCTATCTATATATATATATATCTATATATATATATATATATATATTCACAACAGTTGTTTGAACTGTATCATATAATTTGAACGTATGCCTCATTTGTTCATCTGTCATGCTCTCTCACTCTCTTTCCCCTTTTCACACATAGACACTCTTAGTGACATAATTTCCATCAATGTGCCTAAGTAACTATCAAGCAACATGATTGATTTAGTATTATTAAACCTACGAGAAAAAATCCAACAGTTTGTTTCGATAGATAACATGTAAATCTTACAGACCTGAAACTTGCCTTTAGTACTTATTCATTGTTGCTCTTAGTTGTGTAAATTGCTTCCTTGTCCTCATTTGTAAGTCACTTTGGATAAAAGCGTCTGCTAAATGACTAAATGTAAATGTAAATCAGGGGGGCTCAACCTTGTTAATGGAGATCTACCTTCCTGCAGAGTTCAGCTCCCACCCTGATCAAGCACACCTGAACCAATTAATTAGAACCTGAAAAGCACTTGATAATTACAGGCAGGTGTGTTTGATAAGGGTTGGAGTTGAAATCTGCTGGAAGGTAGATCTCCAGGAACAGGGTTGTTCACTCCTGATGTAAATGTTCAACTGTCATTAGCAACAAGGCTTGAGCAAATTATGCTTTCTACAGGAGTGATGTGCCAGTTGGTGGCAGTGTGGACATATAAGTAAAGCTTTCTGTTTATGCTTGGGATGCAAAACATTATGAAAACTTTTTTTTTTTTTAAAGAAAGAAGTGAAACGAAACCTCAAAGACAAGGTGAAATAGGGAACAGTGCCAAGACTGTACACAAAGAAGGCCAAAGACTGCAATCCCAGATAAATGTAGAACATTCTGTTGCATTTGGGATCTCTTGAACACTGGCCAAGAACTGCAGAGGAGTTGCCAACGCTCAGTCCCCAGCTCTGAATACAGCCGCAGTCATGGAATGTCTGACAAAACAAGACAAGAAAGAGGAAAGTAGACTAACAAACATGTAATAAGAATTGAAGGAGAGATCGAAAGATTGTTATGCGCTGCATCCACCATATTCCGTCCTGCACCCAGAGTGGAATTACAGCCCGCATGGCAAGGGGAGATGTAGGTCACTCCATTCTCTCCACACACTGGATCCCAATGGATGTCTGGACACCCACAGTCAGCATTGCAAGAAGGGAGTACATCACTTATTACACCTTGAACTTCAGTAGATCTGCCACATAAACGATTAATTGTTATGTCATTCGACAGCACACAAGTGACTTGAAAATTAATAGATCGAATAGGAGCATGGAAATAAAATTACCCTTGATAGGGCACTGTAACCCCTGCAACTTCTAGATTTCCGCAGCTGAGAGCGAAGAAAGGTACGGCCAAAAACAACATGGCAACACCAGCGTACAAGTTCACTCTTGCAGATGTCAGCAGATCCCATTTAAACCTCTTCATCATCAACCCACTCAGAAAAATACCCAGAGCCACTGCTGGAACAGATGTCGCTCCTGAATACAGCATAAATAAAAGCAATTAGTTTAAACAGACTGACGATAAAGTAACCATCACAGTTGTCACCTATGAGAAAGTTGGTTTTGGATGCGCTCTGTCCAAACTGCTGTTCCAGATACTTCGGTGTGTATGACGCCCCTATGGCAAAGTCGTTAAATGCCACAATACTGTGAGCTAGGTACAGAATGTAAATCTTGTTGGTAAGTAGATGCTTAAAGGATGGTGGAAAATCTAGGAAAGAAGTAAATAAGGACATTTTTTAACAATATGAAAGTGCTTTTTTACATTGTCAGAGGAGGCGACTATATAAAATTGCCGTACCTTTGACTATCTCTGTAAGGCTGGGGGTGGTTTTGTGCTGTTGCCGGGGGTGGTTTAGCTCAGAAATTTGGGAATTTTCAGGTAGAGCTCTTGGAAAGAACCACAAAGGAAAAGCAGCAAGTAGAGTGAACAGGCCAGACACCACATAACCCAACCACCAAGCCCCAACCCAGCGATAGTCCTGCGGTGTGATGGTCACGCTTGCTAATAACAGGAGAATATGTAAATAAATAATATAATTATTAGTAATATTTCAAGACAAATGAAGAACAATTTCCCTTGTTCTTAACAACATGAGGTTAAACAAAGTGATTGGACATTGAAAAAGAATGATTGGTCCATGTTTAAAATTTCTGTACAGAGGTCATGTTTTGGTCTTCGATTGATCTCACGTGGTCACATTTAGATATTTAAGAGAAAAACAATGCTAAAGTTAATTGTTCTGCTTTGAAAATGTGCGATTCATAACAGTCATGTCTGTTTTTGTTTTGATTTCTTTAACTCGTCCAATGCCAGTCAATTTAGTCAATTATATTTTCAGCACCCCACAATGTCTTGGTGAAAAACCACGTATAGGATTCATTCAGTCATAAAGGCTCTCAAATTCCGCATCCGCGACCAAAATGCGACCTTTGGTGCACTCAAGCAGCCTCTGAAATTTAGAGTTCCGCATGAGGTGCTTGTGTTTAAAAACACTGGCTGGGAAAGAGTTTAAAAAGTACTACCTTGGTACACGTCAAAGTAATACTTAAGTCTTATAATATATTTGTTAATGTCCTGTAAAGTAGCTCTATGCTAATTTCTATCTCACCTTGATACACTGAGTCAATATCCACATAAAGATTAGCACATAGAGATCCAAGCATGAAACCGAAAATTGGCCCAATCACTCCAAGTGTGTTCAGACAACCTACAGAAAAGAAACGAGTATTGATTAAATCACAAAAGGCAGGGATGTTCAAACTTGGTGCTGGAGGGCTGGTGTCCTGCAGATTTTAGCCCTAAACACACCTGCAAGGATGTTTCTAGAAAGCCTACTACAGGGGCGGCCAACCCTGTTCCTGGGGAGCCACCTTCCTGCAGATTCCAGTAGCTACCCATATCAAACACACCTGAATCAATTAATTAGGACCTGAACACCACGTGATAATTACAGGCAGGTGTCTTTGATATGGGTTGCAACTACAATTTGCAGGAAGGTAGATCTCCAGGACCAGGGTTGGCCACCCCTGGCCTAGTAAGAGCTTGATTAGCTAGCTTAGGTGTGTCTGATTGGGGTTGGAACTCAACTTTGCAGGACACCGGCCCTCCAGGACCGAGCTTGGACATGCCTGACATAAGGGATATAGATTTTTTTTTCAAATTGAAGTATTAGCCAAAAATAACTCAATTAAACACATGCAGTTTTAAAATGGTTTATTATCGTTATTGTTAAGAGAGCCACTTAAATAGGACCTGCCTGACAAAGCAAGGTAGACCAAAAAATCCCAAAATGCTAGACATCATGATTTAAAGAAACTCAAAATAAATGAGAAAGAATATAATTGAAATCTACCAAAAAGTCATGAAGCCATTTATAAAGCTTTGGGTCTTTAGAGAACAGTGAGAGCCAGTATCTATAAATGGCAAAAACATGAGACAGAGGAGAACCTTCCCAGGAGTGGCCGGCTGACCAAAATTACCCCAAGAGTTCAGCGACAACTCTTCGACATTGGTTTGCATGGTGAGTGTTCATGACTCCACCATAAAAAAGATCCTGCAACATAAAGGCTTATTTTAGTTTTACCAGAAAACATTTTGATGATTCCCAAGATATTTGGGAAAATACTCTTTGGGCTGAGAAAAAAATTTTTTTTGGAAGGTGTCTGTCCCATTATGCATGACGGAAAAGTAACACAACATTTCAGAAAAAGAAGACCAACAGTAAAATGTCCAGCCACTTCAACTTGGGTTCTGCAGCAGGACAATGATCCAAAGCACACCACCAAGTCTACTTCTGGAATGGCTGATGAAAAATAAAGACTTTGATGTGGAGTCAAAGTACTGACCTGTATATAATTGAGATGCTATGGCATGACAAAAAGTCTCTAATGCGGCTGAATCACAACAATCCTGCAAAGATGAGTGAGCCAAAATACCTAGGGGGATGAACCACAACAGGAATAACTGTAGACAAAAGAGGAAGCTGTCTGAAAGGGATGTCCAGGTGCTACCTTGGATTGTATCCAAAAATATAAATCTGCCGCAATTCAACTCTGTTCGAACTCAACCAATGATTCCACTAAATCTGTGCATCAGGAGCTCCACAGGGTCAATATACATGGCCAGGCAGCTACAGCTAAACCTTTGGTCACTCATGTCAATGCCAAGCGTCAGTTTCAGTGGAGCCATCATTGAAAATCTTGGGCTGTTTACAATGTGAAATATGTACTGTTCTCTGATGAGTCCAATTTCACAATCTTTCCCACAACCAGGAGAGCTATGGTGTGGAGATGCCCCAAAGAAGCATACCACCCAGACTGTTCCATTCCCAGAGTAAAGCCTCAGGATCAGTGTGGATTTGGGCTACAATATCACGGCATTCCCTCGGCCCAATACTTGTGCTAGATGAGTGAGTCACTACCAAAGACTACCGAACCATACTAGAGGACCATGTGCACCAAATGGTTCAAACATTGTACCTTGAAAAAGGGTGCCGTATATCAGGATGATAATGCACCGACACACACAGCAAGACTGGTGTCTTCCACAGTCAACAAATGTAAATATTACTGAGGCTCTTTGTGCGTTAGTCCACACCAACTTCATGCCTGGCGGCCTGGTGGCTCTCCAAGAACAGGGTTGGCCACCACTGCTCTATTACATCTGTGTCTCCCACAGACACGGATACTACTCCAGACAGTAAAGTGTCACCCACAATTGAGGCAACTCTCTCCTCAAAGGGTGTCAGTTCAGCATCCCCTGTTGGGTCCACACTTTGACGGTGCGCCGCTGTTTTCCTCTTAACCTGCACCTCTACATCGGACCATTTCTTTTTTAATTCACTCACAGTGCGATGTTCAGATCCCACTGTGTTAACCGCGTCAGCTAAACTCTCCAACTCTATTGTTTTTCTTTTGTCATTAATTCCGGAGGACAAACTTGCAGAAAAGTCTCTCTCCAGTCTACCTCCGATAGGAGCACCTTCAATTCACCTTCTGTGAAGTTTCTCTTCTTGCTAGCTTTTGCCATTGCTTTTTTCGTTTGGTTTTGCCAAAGTGGAGTCATTACCATATTTATACGGGGAGGAGGCTGGCAGGGGTGTTGCGCCCATGCGCTCAGTTTCACGTTAATTCGGATGTACAAAGAGAATATGCGTGGGATTCTGTGTACTCAGTGTTTCATATATCTAAATTTTTTACTGCCTACACACATTTACAGCTTTGTCCGTACTAAAATTTTTAGTATGAATTCAACGCAAGTCTTTGTACATAAGCCCCTGGCCTCTAGTCTGCAAGAAGAAAGGCTCAAAATCCCTCTGGCCACTGTACAAGGCTTGTGTCCGTCATTTTCCAAGACGAATTGACCATACAAATAAAATATTGGCGTCTAAAACCAGGCGTTTCAGTTCTATTGTCTATCCCTTATAGTTTTTGATTTAGATATCTCTTAATAATAACAACCTTCATTTCAAAACTGCATGATGTGTTTACTTTTGTCATCTTTTGACTCATATTTAAAAGTTGTTCGATGATCTAAAATATTAAAGTGTGACAAAGATGCAAAGAAATACGAAATCAGTAAGTGGGCAACACTTTTTTTAACCTTCTGTAGCTATATTGATTTGAGTGTTGTAATATTACTAACTAGAACCTAAAGTTTGATAAACTTTGATGTTGGCTTGAGAAACCCAACGTGACTGCGCTAGGACTGGGAATGGCAGTTGGCAGGAAGCACGGCGGCGGTTGCTAAGTGGTTGCTAGGCAGTTGCTAAAACAATTATGGCATTGTTAGGTGGTTGCTAAGCAGTTGCTAAAGGGCAATGCTCAGGTACATGTTTGATCAAATGCTAATACTTAGTAGGCATTTCTAGCATATGATATTGCATTTAGAAAATTATTCATAGCATGTAGCTAATCGTTATTAGCACTTGGCTTACATTATCATTGTTACCATGCATAGTACACAGGAAGTCCCATTTGCTAGCATGAGTCAAACAAGCCAATGCCCAGGTCCCTACGATGTTCTGATGTAGAGATATTGCCATTTTTAAATGGTTGCTAGGTTATACTGTTTTATTGCTATGGGGACATTTGACAGGTTAGTGATGATACAAAGCTTCTTGGCAATATGAGTGATCTTAATCAACCCCGATGTTTCTATGACAGTCTTTATGAGTGTCAAAAACTGGACATTATGTATTGCTGGTGTTGGGTTGCGGCTGGAAGGGCATTCGCTGTGTAAAACAAATGCTGGATAAGTTGGCGGTTCATTCTGTTGTGGCGACCCCTGATTAATAAAGGGACTAAGGCAATGAACATTATGTAAAAATGGCTTGCCGAATTTTTTTGAAAATACAATGCTCAATAAGTGTGAAAGTGATACATGCAAAAATGGCTTGCCATATCAGTAAAAATATGGAGTTTAAGTTAAAAATGGCTTGCCATTTTTTGAGAAAAATAATGCTTAAAAATTATTTATTGGAAAACTGTAAGTCTGATAAACCTTAAAGATATAGCAACAAAATCTACCGCATCTAAATACAGCTTTTGGCCAAATTTGGGGCTTGTATAATTTTTTTATATGCTCTGATTATAAAAATGTAATATTTAAAAATTTTTATAAAAAAAAAACAATAAGTCTTACAGGCATGAGGAGATATAGCAACAATCTTGAATGTAGAAGGAACATTTTGACCACATTTGGGCCTTATGGCATGAACGGCTTAGGAGGAGATACGTTTGTTTTCAAGGACAGAGTAGTATAATAGTATTTTAGCTTTCTCAAGCCAACATAATAACAACAATCCTCTCACCAATGTAAAAAGCAGAGTTTTCTGGCCGTGCATAATCATCTATGAATGACATTCCCAGAGGGACAATGCTGGCTTCCCCAATCCCACGCATAGTGTTTCCCAAAAGCACCATCACCCACAAGGGTGACCTTCCAGATTCCTCTTTTTGGCATCCTAGACAATACATAATAACTTTTAGGTATTGCATTTAACAATTAAATTCTCATATGCTTCTCTACACATAACGCATTACCAGAGAAAGGCTTTTGAAGAGTTTCCTGAGAGTCGGATGAGCATGTAGAGATCACAGTGAAATTACCATCATCATTAGTGTGGGTGGCAGCTGTACCATACCTGTACCTGTTAGAAAAAAAAAACAGATGCATAAACAATACATACTGTACAACATTCCAAATATGATTCCTAAAGAAAGCACACTTTTAAAGAGTGGATCTTCATTCATTTCTTAATGTGAATACACCATTAATGACTATGCCTTACTTTGTTCAAAACTCACCGGCCCATAATGAAATGAGGTGAAGCCATTAGCAGTGTTCCTATACCCATCAGCAGAACCCCTGCTCCAATGATCTTGGGCCTGTGAAACTTAGCGCCAACATAGCTTACCAGGGTAATGACCAGTATATTACCTGGAAGCAGAATACACTCTCAACAAGTTATGCATTATTTTAAAAGACACCATCAATCAACTGTCATATTTGTATGAACAGTAGTTCAGTCACATTACAGTATCAGTGGTCGACTCACTGGTATAAGCACTCATCTACTGCCTGAACTTCAATACATCTCAACTCACCCATTTCGAAGCTGCCATCAATGATACCAACGGTGGAGCTCGGGATCTCAAACCGCCTCTCAATCTGAGTGATGGTGCTTTTGGTGTAAAACCCCGTCAGGGATTTAGAGAAGTAACAGAAGGCGAGAGCGCCAATAAAGATCTTTTTAGGAGACAAGGGTAGAGGGTTAAGCTACAACCATTACTTAATCAAATTATCAGCAAATAGTAGTCTTAAACTTGTGGCATATGGTCTTGCCTTTAGACTTGTGGAGCAGCATTTGGTTTGCAGAGTTTTCTGATTTCTGTCTGAATATTCCATCCCATATGGACTGCCTTCCATGATGATCTATTCGCCAGGAAAGAAGAGAACATCCAGTGATAATAGACTAGCAAAGCACAAATTCCACTCTTACCCAGCCAACATTGCAGTGTGGGTCCAATGTGGGCCTCATATGTGCTTAAAGGCATGGTTCCATGTCTTTAAGCACATGGTTCCAAATTCTTAACACTTAAAGTCATGGAACCACTTGAGGGACAGTAAATAGTATGTTTTTGGGTGCATCTCTGTACAGAATGTGTAACGGAGGCCAGCTAGTAGGTGCTTTGCAGGTAAACCTCACTCCTCTGACCTCTAAAGGTGCTCTAGTGACAGACGCTAGAGGTCATGGACTTTAGCCTCCTTGGCAAGAGCAACCGACTCCAATGCAGACGGTCGCCAGTTTGATACCAGCTCGGAGTAGGTTGGCTGGTGTAGGACAGGCAGGGTTACATTGGTGCCGTGACCCGGATGGGAGTGAGGTTTAGGGGGGTGAGGGTAACAGAGGCCAGCTAGTAAGTGCTGTGCAGGTAAACCTCACTCCTCTGACCTCTATAGGTGCTTTAGTGACAGACACTAGATGCCATGGTCTTTAGCCTTCTTGGTAAAGCAACCAACTCCCATGTGGAAGGTCGCCGGTTCGATACCAGCTCGGAGCGGGTTGGGTGGCGTAGGACCGGCAGGGTTACACCTGGGCCCCAATTGGGTTTGCCCACAGGTTCCAAATAGGACCCATCCAAATTATCTGATATAAATCTCACATATACCGTCGACTAACCATATTCCGTACACAACGATGTTCCGTAGAGATTACGCTTTAATGCCAATCTCTGAGCAATTACTTACAGGTCGTAGGCAAACTATATATCTGTGTAATCTTTATTACTCACTCTTTCAACCCAAAGCTCAACAGAGACCTTCCTACAATATGTTTCCAAGAATATTCAGTACGTTTGCTATGTTCACCTTGAAAATAGACAGTAAGCAAGCTAAAGAGTATCCTCCCAAGCGACTTCAAACAATGCCCATTTTTGCCAATGAATTGAAGCTATGCGCCCTATACGGAACACTATTTTAATAGTGTACGGAACATCGTTAATACCTATCATCTTCCTTACACATACAAAGTCGGTACTTTTCTCATCTTTTCTCAAAAACCACTGGTCCAAAAGACATCAATCAAAATTTGGTTTGCGCAATAGGTATTCACCCAGAGAATGAACACACAAACATGCTTATCTGGCTTTCAATGATGGAGGAGTGGGTCTAATGTGGAGCCTAACTGAGCAACATGCGCAAGACTCATTGTCTCACATATACCATCCTTGCTAAATATTATTAAAAAATAGAATCGTCCCAAACTCTAGTATGTTTGAAAAAATTTGCCACAACTATTAAATTTGAAGTATGGAACCATTTATTGTATCACTTGCACTGAATGTTGACATTTGGTGACAATGTATTGCACAAATGTACAACGTACAGAACAATGTATTGTAAACGGTAAATGATGTCATACTTAAATCATAAGAAAAAGGTAAAACTGTACAGTATAGAAAAAAAGCATAGCAAAAATACACGAGATGCCATCGCTATCTCATGGCAATTCGTAACTTTGCAACCTAATTTGTACAATTTAGTACGATTTGCTCATCACCCAATGAAGGTTGGGGTAAGGGGTGGGGTTAGGTGCCACGCCTCCTTTTTAAAATCGTACAATTTCTTACGACTGAACTCGTACGAATTCGTACGAATTAGCCACTAAACTGACAAAACGTAAAATACTTACGTTTCCTTGAGAAATCGGGCTGGAGATGCTGCAACAGATAAAACTTTAAATCGGATGTTTTAGATGCATGAAAATAAACGTATCAGGCGTAGAACATATTTTAAATTAATTTGGCAACATTTGTTAGTACAAAGTAGAAAACAGCAATTCTAATAAAACTCTAATTTTCCAATCAACGAATGAGTTAAATACCTTAAATTGAGGCTTTAGATCTAAGAAAAAATAATTACATTTAGTTTTTATATTGACTGTTTGAAAATTGCTGAAGACAACTTTTAAATCTTAGTGGTTTAGATGAATTTATTTACAAATTCAGAACATATTATGCAGCATTTGTTTAAGTATATTTATAAACTAATTTCAAGAGGATCACGTGCTTATGATTGCTTGTAGCTAGTCCCGCATTATCCAATTCATGATTCACCAATCAGACGATTCCTAAGCCACTACAAATACCCTAAGTTCCATATGACAGCCATCTTCATTTTGAAGAATCCCCCCCCTCCACCCTACTCCTCCTCCTTTCCTAGATGTGTGGCAACAGTGGCCCAGTGGTTAGCACTGTTGCCTCATAGCAAGAACACCACTAGTTCTAGTCCTTATTAAGCCAGCTGACGATTCTGTGTGGACACGTTCTCCCCTTGATCACGTGGGTTTCCCCCGGGTTCTCCGGTTTCCTCCCACCGTCCAAAAACATGCAACTTAAGGTAATTGACGCCAAATCGGTATCATAGACATGCTCCTAGTAAGTAGTTGTTTATTAAGAGCAATCACTATGTGTTCATTAGCTACTACAGCAGGGGAGTTCTCCAGATCTACCTGAGCTCAAACTCCCCTCTATCCTAGCAAACGGGAGGGAGCCCCAGGCTCGAGGATTTAATTAGGTTAGGGCTCAAGCTTTAAAATAAATAATCAGCTAAGTGTGAACTCTTGAAATACAACTTGTGGCATGTCTCAGCTTGTGGAAATATGCAGAGCTTAAACAAATAGCTGATTTTACAGGAATTTACTTGCATCTTATATTAAATAAAATGTATTAAAGAGTGGTGAAAACACTGTTGAAACTATTTACAATGATCATTTTTGAGGATAAGTGAACATAGATATACCTTTTGAGGTTTCGTTTTTAGGAAGACGAAACTATTTAAATGTTTTAAACAGTTATTAAAATCATGCAACAGAAAAAAACATAGAAAAAACACATAACATTATAATTGTTACAGCTCTGTTGGCTAAATAGTTCATTACAGATATTATAAAAAGAAGAAAAGCTAGCTAACTAGTAATAAACAACAAATGTAGTATTATTGCAATATTTAAAAAGACGTTACAGTAGTTTAGACTAATGCATCATAAAATATAGAAATAGGTCTGAGTGCTCAAATAATAGAAATACAACTAATAAACAAAGTAAACAACTTACCTGTTTAAATAAAAAAGTATGATTGCCTTTGTTTTGAAAAAAAAATAGCAATGTAAAAGATTTTCCAAGCTGGAAAAGGTCCAGATGAAAAAAAAGGTAAAAAAGTTAGAGAGAATCAAGTGCAAAAACAGCAGAAGGAATATTGGTACCCGAGGAAAAAAAAGGCAAATAAAAAGCAATCGTATCCTATATTGGCCTTTTATATAAAAAAAAAGGCATAAAGAATTAACAATACAAAGTAAGAAAGGACAATATATATTTTTAAAAAGCACATTTGCCAGTAATAATCGATGTGGACTTAAATCCGAGATTCGTTTGCTTTAGTTTAAGCGAAAGAAAGTCTGTTCCAGGTACGGGCCAGAACATTGAGTGCAGGGGAGTGTCGAGGACATTGAGGAGAACCTTAACCTTATACCAACCAGACCACTTGATAACATATTACTGTAATGAACAAAGCAAGATCAGGTTTGTAAGCAGAGTGTAGAGTAGCACAATTTAGGGAAAATGTAAAGCAACCCTGCTGAAAAATCTTGCTTAAACCAGCCAAGAATGGTTGGCTGGTTTTAGCTGGTCGACCAGCCTGGTTTCAAAGGGGTTTTGGCCACTTCCAGGCTGGTTTTGAGCCATTTCCAGCCTGGTCTTAGCTGGAAAGGCTGGGAAATGACCAGCTTGACCAAAAGCCAGGCCAAAACCAGCTATGTCTAGCTTAAACCAGGATGGTCAAGCTGGTTTTAGCTGGTCACTTTCCAGCCTGACCAGCTAAGACCAGGCTGGAAATGGCTGGAAACCAGCCTGGAAGTGGCCAAAACCCCTCTAAAACCAGCCTGGTCGACCAGCTAAAACCAGCCATCCATCCTAGGCTGGTTTAAGCTGGATTTTGCAGAGAAATAAAATGCGATATACAGAGCTGTTATTGATGAAGTTAATAATACCTAATAATCATACCTTACATTTATATAGAGCGTTTTCTGGACACTCAAAGCTCTTTACACATTTTTTGGGGGAATCTCCTCATCCACCACCAGTTTACAGCCTCCACCTTGATGATGCGATGGCAGCCATATTTTGCCAGACTGCACACCACACAGCTGATTGGTGGAGAGTGATGAAGCCACTTATATTATGGGGATGATTAGGATGCCATGATGGACTGAGGCCAGTGGGCAAACTTGGCCAGGATGCCGGGGTTAAACCCCTACTCTTTTTCAAAGCACATTATAAGGGGATTTTAAGGACCACGAGAAGGTCAGGACCTCGGTTTAACGCCTTATCTGAAAGACGGTGCTCAATGAGCAGACCCCATCAATATACTGGGGCGTTAGGACCAACACTCACTAACAACACGTCTGGCAGCAACCTAGCTTTCCCATGTGGTCTCCATCCAGCTACTGACCAAGCGCAGCCATGCCTACCTTAAGTGGACGACCATGGGAATTCAAAAAAGCAGTTCACGGAAAAAAAAATTTGTGGGTGAGGAGGCTCTGGGTCAGGAAGCACTGGCAGGTCAGACAACCCTAGTTTATCAGGAGGTCCTTGGTCAGATAACCCCAGTAGGTCTG